AAATCATAAAGTGGTGTTAATATGTGGAGTTTATCCTGCTGAATTAAACATTGAGGCATTATAAATGCCCATAGAGTCAGGATGGTGCTACAGATAACAAATATATGATACACACACATTTCTTCTATTTCTAACTGTCAATGTAGTTGTGAGGCTGGCTTCAAAAATGGTGACCTTTTCATGTCCTACAAGAGCATGTTCCAGGACGTGCGAGACGGCGTGGACTGGGTTCATATGAAGGTAGAGTCATTTGCTTTTCCACATGAATCCTGTTTCTAGGCTGTTTGCCTTCAGCCCACTGCTTTTTATTTTCCCAGGGGTCTTTAAAAGAGAAAACCGTTGAAAACCTGGAGAAGTATGTGGCAAAGGACGTAAGGAGAGCAGCATATTAAGGTCTTACAATACACACACCACTTGTGCTGTAGTACTTTATCAGCTCATGTTGCTTCTGTTTCTCCTCCAGCCCAAGCTTCCTCTGCTCCTCAGTCGCATGAATGAAGTAGCCAAAGTGTTTCTGGCCACCAACAGTGATTACAAATACACAGAGGTGAGAGGACAGCTTACAGTCAGATATGTCAAATGTATTAAAGCAAACACAATGTCGAACCTCATATTGTCATGATGTACTGATTCAGTCCACATATTTTCATGAAGTTCTATTGCTTGGTGGTTTTCAGACATTAAATACCCTGCCCTGTCTTCTTTCAGAAAATTATGACCTACCTTTTTGACTTTCCTCATGGCCCAAAGGTAACACTAATGATTTGCATTGTCAATCTGAATGAAGCACATTGGCTACACCTGTCTGGGGCCAGTGTTTTAGGATTAAAAAGTGTAGAGAAATAAAAAACACTGTACTGTACCAGGATTTACCTTTATGATGTGTGTACAGCCAGGCACACCCCACCGGCCCTGGAAGTCCTACTTCGACATGATTCTGGTGGATGCCCGCAAGCCTGTGTTCTTTGGAGAGGGGACGGTGCTGCGGCAAGTGGACACTGTGAGTGTGTAGAAGCCTGTATGGACAAGATACTCTACTAAAATATGATGTTTATTAATAGAAGTGTGACAATGTGTGTTACCTTCAGACCACAGGCCGGCTGAGGATCGGCACATACACAGGGCCCCTGCAGCATGGGATTGTTTACTCTGGAGGTAAATGAAGAATCCAAGTTACTTTAAGATTCCAGATATTGGAGTGGAGTTAAACCTCGAAAATAGATGCAGTTTAAGTTTATGGTATGTTGCATTGTTGGAGACTTCAGATTTTCATTGCCAAAACTACGCTGTAGCTGTACGGATTTGGTAAATAAGCCTTTGGAATTCCAGCCATACCATCCTTGATGATCGCTTTACGAGATTTAAATAGTGTGCATCAAATTTCCGATGCCATATTTGTCCTGACAGGTTCTTCAGACATTGTGTGTGATCTGCTGGGGGCTAAAGGAAAAGACATCATCTACATTGGAGACCACATTTTCGGTGACATCCTCAAATCAAAGAAGCGTCAGGGCTGGAGGACCTTCCTGGTGATTCCTGAGCTGGCCCAGGAGCTGCATGTGTGGACCGACAAGAGCTGTGAGACACACTCACTCACTCACTCACTCACTCAATCAATCAGGCCCATTCCCAAACCTACCCCTGCACCCTACCCCTCCGTTTGCGCGTTCACGCGGAGGGTCCGCCATATTGAGGGCTGTTCCAAAGCAACGAGTGTGGAGCGGTGTGGAGGGGGAGTGGGCTATCAAGCCCTCAAACAGTGAGTCTGCAGCAGTGCTGACTTGAGACCCGTCTCTACCTGACCGGAGTCACGCTGTGTGTGTCCTTAAGGAAACAAGCTGTTAACAAGTAGTTCCAGCAAACATCCACTGATAAACTGCGATGTTAACAACCTCATGATAACCTCATGTGTTTTTAACTTAGGATCATACCTGTGTTTAGTCTAGAAAAAGGTAAATGCGTGCATTTTATTATAAAGTTGTGTATATTTACAGACTGTTGCAAAAACTAAGAAGCTTATAAACATCAGGTTTAAAACTAAAAGAGCTTTGAAACACAATGAAAGTTTTATTTGAGTTATTAATTTAAACTTTTTGTCTAAGAGATGCTGATTACACACACATTACATACGGTTACGGCATTTCCTGTTTCTGCCGGAGAGAGGGGAGGCCGTCCCAAAGCTTGCTGCTGTATTTACTCCCTCCATCTGACTGGAAGGAGCCTCGTTGAGCTGCGAGTGTGGCTACAGACGGAGTTCACTCAGTGACGGAGGGGTAGGGTCGAGGGAGTGGTTTGGGATTGGGCCTCACTCAGTCACTCGCTCACTCTAAAATATTGATGAATGTTGTTTTGATTTTTCAGCCATCTTTGAGGAGCTTCAGTCTCTGGAGTGCTTCCTCGCGGAGCTTTACAAGTGAGTTCCTTTTTGTTGTGTCTTTTAGATGTATTCCTACGAAAACATTCTTAATTAAGAAGAATGAAATAAATCCCCTACAGGAAATTCAGTGTTCAGTGTTGTTGATTTTGTTGCTTTCAGTTGTATCTCTCCAGGGAAATAACCTGAAAGCAAAGGCTTGATTGTAAAACAGTTGTCCAGTGTGGTAGATGCATATGCCCTTTTTTCCAGTGGTATTCATGGGTTCCCAGCTGTACTTTATTGACTTACTTACTGTAAGCAGGTTGTATTTTTCGCTCACTGTGTTCATCCCTGCTCTTAGTGGATTCCTTTTCATGTTTGTATGCTGATTTAAATGTATCTACAGGTTACATTATTTAGCAATTGAATCATTTCTGCGCATTTGTTCTGAGTATGTTATGTATAATCATTTATATTGTGTGTTTTCATGCAAATGATCCCTATAGATTGCTGACAGTTAACTCTGACTTCAAGGCAGTTTAAATCATTTTTGGGGATAGTGTTTAAAAACTTCTGCACCTCTCAAATTATAAGTTGTGCTTAGAGACCCTCTCCTCCTCTTCCTCTCCTCCTCCTCCTC